ATGCTTCCAGGCTTGGCAGCGGCGCTGGGCTCGTTGTGTTCACTCCCAGGGGAACTACTTCGAGGGTGATGGATGAATTTAATACCTGAGATAAGTGTACGGGTTTTTATACGCGCAGTCTTGAAACTTTCCGATCGCACCTCGTACATGTTTCCTTCATTCTCTCTTGTTCTTTATTTGTATCTTTCCCTTTTCACTTTTTGTCCTCTTTCATCTCTTTCCTGTCTCGCGTTCTTTATCCTTATTTATACCCCTCCGTCCTGCTTATGCCCGTTCTTTCGACGCCAATCTCCCACGTCAGCCCGCCTATAAATCTCTGTCAGCTCATCCTATCGACGTTCGTCGCCCAACCGATTTGACTGCCTCGTTCTCAGGTGGTGGAGTTTACGTGATATAAAATCAGAGTTTTTTACGACGACAAAATGCAATGAAGTATTTTCGGGCGATTAACTTCGTCGATACAGATCGAAAATACTATGTTCTCCAATACGTCATCGATTTATATCGAGATATTATGCCACACTAGGGTATGCAATGCGCTGAATAATTCTGCTCGTTATGTTCGGGTGTCATGATGCACCGCGAGCCGATTGAAATAGGCGTAACTAAAGCATCATTACGCTAGAAAGCGTTTTAGATGAATGCGTAAGTCCACTGGGAAAGCCGAGGAAGATGATGGAAAACAAGTCTTTGTATCTATTCAAGGGGTTGGTGTAAGGCTGGAACATGGGGGAGTAATAAAGCTTGCCCGCCGTAGAGAATAGTTAACATGCAAACCCTCCCCTTTCTAATAAAATTCGTCTCTTCCTCACAAGTGGAGTATTAAAATGTGTCCCTTTGGTTTATACGTTTGCAATAGTTGACGCATGTTTGAAATAAAATACGACATTGATTAACTGCGTTGGTGTTTTGACTTTCAAAAGTAGGAATGGCCTGTATTTTTAATGGAAGATAATATTTTAAATATTTAGTTAATTTTCATATTTTTGGTATTTTGTAACTTTCTAGATATCTTTCAGGAGAACATATTGCAGTTAAAATAAACCAAATAAAAAAATTATTTTGTTCCTTGTGTGTATGCAAGCATTCTTATTTTTTATCAATTTAGGTAGTTCTATATATGAATTTGCTGTTAGAGGAGTATGCTTATTAACGTTGATTCTAACAGAATTTACCCTTTGAATTACCCAATATGATTCTCTTTATTCCAGTTCATCACGTCTTGCTATAAACTAATCCTTTTTATTTGTCCAAAATTCTTCAAAATCATCTTGTTATTTTAAGACTACATTTTTCAAGTGGAAGTTATGAATCATTTTTCTTACAAAATGTCTAAAAGCACATTCTAGTTTTTAAGTTTACCTTTACAGTTTTATGTTTAATTAATAATCTTCTAATTAATTTTGTTAGTCGTTCTTGTGTTAATTTCATACAGTTTTATCTGCCTAATTATTTTCATTAATATGTTAACATATATGTAATTAATCTTTTTTATAAGCAGTTTCTGTTAAAATAAAATTACGTTCCCTGTTATGTCTAGCTTTCTTACAAGGTTTTAGTATTTCTTAATATATTTACCACTGTCCTCACATTTGTTCTTCTCTGTTTTTTCGAATGACTTATATGATCTTCAAATGGAAATATTTTCTCCCATTTCTCATTTTCCTCTTCGTGATGTAATTGTTCTGTTTTCTTTTCGTGTTATTTGTTCTTTCTTGATGGCAGTGTGTGCCTGAAGGCTCTTGAAACCAAACTAGAAGAAGTGAGTGTGGAATTGTAGAAGCAGAAAGGCACTTTGTAATGGCTATACATTCCCCAACACCATATTTGGCCTGCATCGTGTCTGTGAAATATATCATTTTAAGTTTTTAATTTAATAATCCTGGGGTCTCGGGTTCGATTCCCGGCGGTGCCCGAATTTATAACTTGTGTTGGGCAAGGCCGTGGTCTAAGCAACACGGAGTTTTCCTCCGGGGGCTTCCCCGGTTTCTCCGTGGCATCCCAACAATTACTCCATTCACACACAGAAGACGGCAATGGCAAACCACTTCTGGATCATCTGCCAAGAACGTATATGAACAGGTCCCAGTCCGAGAAAAGGATGGAAGGATCCTGTTCATATGGACCTGTCGTCAGACAGAACACTACAAATAATAAATAAATTTAATAACTTGTAATTCGACTATTATTAGGACTCTTAACTGCGTGGATAGTTGATTATACAGCTTCATGAGCGGATTGTCCGTTTCGACACCCATGCCTGAGGCTTGTTAGGGCCTGTGTGGTCACACGGTGACCGGTTGTGATGTCACGTACTAATAGCCTACAGTTTATGGAGTAAATAGATCGATATCCCATGAGAAAGACAGACAGATCATCAGGGCACTAGAACCGTAGGCCTACTCAGTTGACATTTGCCTATTGACATTTTAACTATCTCAACACCGCCTGTGATAAACTGTTTGAGGAATACTAATCCATGTTGACAAGTGAACGGAGTTTTAGAAATTATATTCCTTCCACTTTTATGTCCATAATAATTACTCATAAAAAGCACAATACTTGTAGCACTAAATGTCCACACGCCTATAATAAACTTGTTACGATTTATCCAATATTAATTTAAGTATATTTAAAACGTTTCTGAAACTTTAGTAGAGTTGTCGGTGACTTTTAATTTGTACACATAATTCTTACCTTTCTTGTTTTTGTTCGAACACACAGAATTTAATTGAAAGCAGTTCACTGTGACAGCGTTGTCACATACACATATATTTAAAAAAGACATGCATGCAGGCACAGAGAAGTAATTCAAATAAAATTATTAAACTGTTTAATCAAATAATTATTTATAATAAATCCTCAATTCGCAGCATACAGATAACGAAGTTATTAACAGCAACACGTTTTGGTGTTAAAATCTATTATAGACAACTTCATAATCAGATAAAGCAAACATTGATTCAGACAGGCACAGAGACATATTATTAAAATAATTTAATATAATTACGAATAGCGTTTGTAAAATGAACACATTTATAGTAATGAACGAAGTTCATTATTTTAAATAATTACTTTGAAGTTACCTCTAATACACAATGTATCGATAAGCATATATATTACATCCTATGATAACTCTTAAGCAATAAACCTGGAAGGTTGAGCTTGGATATGATCCAGATTATTTTCCATCGACCTCTCATTATCACAACCTACTGCCCTAGGGTCCGTCTTAACGTTATCTTTGAGTCTTCTCCATCTTCCTAGAGGTCATTTCCAAGAAATTTTCTCGCCAAAATTCTGCATCTGAGATTTAAGATTTTCAAAGCGGTTAAGACAATCTTCTGGGTTGTGACGTCATGTATACTCGTAGGTAGATACAAGTGGTTTGGAGACACACAGCGTCACAACCCACAAGACTACAATCGATAATTCTGTGTTTCGTGTCTTAACTCACTTCATCAGGACAGACTGTGTAACCATTATTTGTGAAAGTAATGTGATGTGAGAAGTCCTTCTGGTCCACTAACGTGAACTTACCATTTTTACTTTTCAGTCGTTCTTCAGTACTACGAGATACAAGTGTACTACAATAAAAACGTCATCCGTGGTAACACCGCCTTGCTGAAGTGCACAATCCCGAGTTTCGTCCGAGAATACATCACTGTCACATCTTGGATCCAAGACTCCAAGTTCAACATTTTCCCAACTCCAAAAGGCGGTAAGTTGTCATTACGCCACTCCACTCTTCGCCAGTATGACCTCTTCAATCATTTCACTTCTCCGCCCTTAACTTGTCAGGAAGATCCTCTAGAATGCGCCACAGGCGATATTCATCATACGGCGACTTCCGGTCTTCTTTGAGATTGTTAGGTCCTCAGCTGGAGAAATAATATCCTCTTCCTTTTGTGACAAGCCGGTATTGGATATATGTTGTGTTGCATTAGTCATTATCGATCAAAATATATAAAAACAGACACAAAAGTTTATACTTGCTGTGTAACAAAATCGAGCTTGTTCCGTAAAAACAGTCAACCGAGAGACCAAGTATTTCTTGTTAAGCCAATTTAGGTTTCAGAGAGAAATTTTTCAAATGCAGTTTGTTGTACCAAAACACAAAAGGATTTTCTTTTCTTTTGAAAAGGCTAACGAATATGATACACGAAACCAATTACTTTTCAAGCCTTTTGTACGGTTCTGAACCTCGTTATTTTGCGTATTGTTTATTCGATCAGTTTTACGAAGCTGTGACGACTGATGACATTGCGCGTTATTGAGATGTTAAAAATACTACGCCTACCATAAACAGAGAAAAGTGGTCCATGATAAAACAATTGTCGATGGTGTTCTGGGTTCTAAGGCTGTGTGGACGTGTAGGTAGATCCAAGTTTTTTTAAGTAACCTGAATGATTTGACGTTCTCACGGCTGGGAGAATGAAGATAACTGTCTTCTGGGTTGTAGTGTCGTGGAATCTGGTAGAAATTACCACTGCGCTAAAACCCAGAAGTCAGCCATCTTCATGCTCCCAGCCGTGAGAACGTCAAATCCCACGATATAAGCATTGTCTCACCTGAGGACAGCCAATTTTACCAAGGTTTATACTGTACTAATTATTCAAAATAAATTTTGTGACCGTCTCAGCTTTTGTTACTGTTAAATTGTACACATAAACAGGATACTACATTGCAAGATTAGGATGGACAGATTCCTTTTTGTCAAAGAAGAGAAAAGATGTTGATCACAAATAAATTTGAAAATAATAATAAATTGTCTACTGTTGTCTTCTCAAAATATAATAAGAACATTGCTGTGTTCTGGGTGGTTGGGCCGCGTACTCTGGTAGTTTACCGACGTATCATAGATGCCTACTGCCTCAATTATCAGGGCGCAAGAACACACGGTCTAGTGAAACTGAAGTCTTAGAAGACATTAAAATTAATATAGAAAGTTCCTCTCAAACACAAGGCGTGGTGCTAATTATTTCACAGCGATATACCTGTTACGGTGAAGCTGTCAGCTTTATGAATATATTTCCGGACGGGATGGAATGAGGGGCAGGACTAGATGTGGACGAGAAGAGACAACAACGTCCCCTGCACCTGACGCTGTCCGATGCAGACCAGGTACGGGCGTGTCTTGAAATACGAGAGTCAAGCCATTAAGTAGAGAAGGCTCTTCTAGGACTTACGAAGTTAGCCCGGGCGCACCTTGAGACGCGTGACGTAGGACGGGACGGTAGTTTTCTACGTCTATGGCTTTGCTCGTTGTCCCCTCCTAGGCGACTACCATCATTCCTTCCTTCCCATTTGTCACTCTTTTTCCTTCCCCATGTTTTGGGGATTTAGGAAAGAAAACATAAGAGAGACAAGCGCCAGTTATAAGTAGCTCAGTAGCTCATCATTTTCCAGCTTTAAATGTACCAGTGTCCACACAGTACAACTGTTAATAAATATCATTTTCAGCTGACATGTTTTCTCCGGTATATGGAACAATTCGATCACGTCGTTGAATAACTCCATGGAGTTTTGTATCAGCTTCGTTCATGTTATCCACACCTGGTAAAACCCCGCATATACTCCGAACTATATTCATATTTGCTACACGCCGTGATTCTGATAAATCCTCACGTTATTCGCCCTCGATATTAACGCTGTCCGGAGTCTCAAATTGCGTGTTGGCTATGAAAGCCGGAAACTGAGACGGGGGACATCAGAAGTTCCGTTTCTTTTAGCGGCCACGTTGGTAACGTAAAGACGAATCGAGATGTTTGGCAAAGTCTCGCACTTACGAAGAACACCAGCTCCAATATTCGTGTATCCAAATCCATCTCATTAAAAACTTTCGTCGCAAAATGAAGTTTAAAGGTTTTAATAGCTTCAGAAAAGGAATAAATATACAACGCGAAACTCCCACATAGCCATTACGCAGGAAAGTGAGACTTAGTTTCTTCTTTAAACATTTTTAGAATATAATGTGGTTTCCAGGACGTGAAATTTGCAATTAGAAGCACCGCCTTACCAACGTCTCTGAGAAAGTATCTTTGCACTCTGGATGAGTTTTAGAAGGCAGATGCAATCATTAGATCTCAATTTCTTCATTATACAGTCCGCAGTTTGTCATATTGGATGAATGTAATTAAATAGAAAACAAAACCTAAAAATACAGGCAAGTTTGTGACATAGAAAAGTAATCTTCTGGGTTGTAGCATCGTGTTGTCCGGTAGAATTTTATCGATCTCTACCAGACTACACTGCGCTACAACTCAAAAAGCAGCCATATATATACTCGCCGCCCCGAGGGACTTATATTCTGCTTAATATTTTTATTTTTGTCATTGAAAAGTGCGCGTGTTTCAAGTTCAGTAAATTAATCAGTCAGTCTGTTTGGTGAAATAATATTAACGAAACTGACACGAATGTGGGTACCAAAAAGGACATGTGGTTCACCGGTAAGGTAGTTTCCGTAGTAACATAAACCCATGTGTTTCTTTATCAGTTGAATTGATTTTGAACGTAAATAAATTTTTTATACACAGATAATGATGATAGATTTGAGAAAGCCTTGTATTTTTCATATAGAATTTTTATTCACAATGATATGTGAGGCAAAGTAATGCTGTCTCGCTGCACGCCACGAAGGCGCTTGGGCGAAGAGGGGTATAGTCCCTATAAGACCTTGACCCGACACTAGATGGGAGTCAGTGGTCAGTATCACGCACCGACATGCTTATCTCCCGGGGTAGGGATCTCCGATACCCATTGGGTAGGAGGCTGTGTGGGCCGCAAAGCCGATCCAGGCAACCATGCTATATACAAGATATTTCTGAAAATTAACATTGCTCTTAATTAGGGTTGTTTTGTTTTAGCTTTATTATGCTTCAAATTAATATGGATCCCCGTGCAATGAAATTGTGTTAATTAAGATCTTTCTCGCCCTAATTAATTTTATCGTAGCAATCTCAATAAGACCTCTTGTGTTTGTTAGTGAATACAATTTCAATTATAAGACGAAATAAGCTTGATGTTAAAACAAAGGATTTGAACGAAATCTGGAATTAGAATTATAATACTTTTTATTCGTTCCATGTACCTAACATCAATTGAGAGAAGAATTGCCGAAATAGGTAATTTGAAAGGAGACGATCGCCTCAATCCTTGTTTGTTGGAAATACAGAAATCTAATAAACACAAACAAAACATGCTACAGTTCAATGACTTCCTATACGAAGGCCAAGATCAGTTGGTCAATGCTGTTTAAGGAAATGGTCGCTGTTTATTTTGATAGTCACACGAAACTCATAAATAAACTGGTTATTAAAGCTTGTGGTACACGTACTACAGCTGTACTGGATTTTGAGTGGTTAAAATGGACCAAGAAAGAGTCAGTCTGTGCTAGAGAGCTATTGTCTAACTAACTAACTAACTAGATGGCTTACCGAACCCGAAGGTTCATCACCGAATTAACCAAAGCCCTCCACCGGACCCTGTCCTGGGCCAACAAAATCCAGTTTCCTTCAACTCCTATCTCGGATAGATCCCGCCTGAGATTATCCTCCCATCTACGTCTAGGTCTCCCCAGCGGTCTCTTCCCTTCAGGTTTCCCAACCAGTACCCGGTGCACACCTCTTGTCCCATACATGCGCGCTACATGCCCAGCCCATCTCATTCTCCTCGACTTAATCACCCTGACAATATTGGGGGAGGAGTACAGATTTTTAAGCTCATCATTATGCAGTTTTCTCCACGCCCCATCGTCTTCTCTCTTAAGTCCAAATATCCTCCTCAACACCTTATTCTCAAAACCCTAAAATATATTTCCTTCCTCAGAGTGAGAGACCATGTTTTGCACCCATACAAAACAACAGGCAGAATTATTGTTTTGTATATTTTAATCTTCAGGTCCTTAGAAATCATACGAGAAGACAAAATATTTTGAACTGAGAAGTAGCAAGCATTTCCGGAATTTAGTCTCCTCCTAACTTCCTCATGAACCCTCACTGATGATCCCCGATAGTTTAATTCGCATATGGAGTTAATCTTTCCAAAAGTATGTTTGATAGAATTTTGTACGTGGTTGATAGTAGAGAAATTCTTCGGTAATTACCACACTCAGTCTTGTCCCCTTCTTATGAATAGGAATAATTATGGATTCACGAATCTTCCCCTCAGGAAGTTTATTTCGGCAGACATCCATTTACAGAGAGTCTATATACTTGAAACTGGATGCATACAGACAGATAAACATCCCCATTTGTGTTTACTACGCGCTTCTGTATTCATTGATCTGTCCGTCCTTAATTCCTTGGCCCAATACTTCGATAAAAATTAATGGTATTTGCTGTTATAAAAGAGCATAATATCAAACTGTATGTTAATTGAACTGAACTGGCTAAGGTTTATGTACAATGGAAGGCTTTGATAATCCGTCATTTGATCAGTAACCAAGAATTAATTCGTTAATTTTTATTAAGTTTCGTTTTATTTTTATGTTGTAACAGGAATATATATCAAAGCAAAACTGTAAATTTTGTAGTTATTTCTGTTTTGATTTTGAGTTGTAGTCACCCCTAAATTCTGACTTGGATGCCAACATAACAGTGATCTTCATGTCCCATTATCATCTTCGTTTTCGTGTTCTAGAAATTGTATTCTTGCGTGACAACATTGCTTAATTCCACATGTTCTTCTGTTTGTCCTGTAATTTGAGTTTTCTGAACATCT